GGGGGCAGCAGTTTTATAAGAAGATCCTCAGTGAGTCAGAGGTCAATGACTTTAAAATGCTTTGCCAAACTTTCCTACAGCCCTTAATTTAATTACTTCATTCCAAGGTCTCAAATGACTCAATCAATTTGGTGGGGGAGGAGCCCATTTCTCTCCATGAGCACGTGAAATCCAATGGCTTTTCCATCCTGTGGCTGGAGGGTTTCAGCTCAACTTTGGCAGACTGATGTAAACAACATGTTCAAAGAATTTTAATTGCCATCTCATTAATGAAGTCCCATTAACATCCCTCCCCACCAGCTCTGCTGATAGCCCAGTGCATGGCCAAATAACAATAACCTGGGCCCTGGCCTCTGAGGTTAAAAATTAAGCAGTCCTTGGAAACAACAATAATGATATATAAGAAATAGGCTGCATAAGATACTAGGGTCCCTTTCCCAGCTACCAGCTACACAGGAGGACTAGGAGAGTGTCACTTGGGAGCAGGAATCTGAAAAGGCAGCCTCTAAATGTGGACCCCACTCTTTTCCACCACAGAACAAATATCATAGTAAAAACCTAGGGGTATTTCTCTAAGAGGGAAACCAGATTTACAAGAAGCAGAAGGGACTTCAGGAGTCAGGGACCCAAACAGCCTCCTAGAGAAAGGAAGGTGCTCCAGCCCCCTCCCAAAGTCCTGCTCTCACCAGGGAGGCTGAAGACTTCTCAGAAAGCCAGAACTGGCCTTAAAAATAAGGTTCCTTTGTTTTACTGAGAGAGAAATTTGGCAGTACCTATAAATTCATTCATTTATGTGGTGCCAGGGATGGAACCCAGGGTGCTGTGCATGCCAGCTAAGTGTTCTACCCTGAATACATCCCCAACTCCATCAGAATGTTTAAAAATGCACATTCTCTTTGGTCCAACAATTAATATTATCAAAGCGGCATCCCTAAAGGAGTACTAGCAAATATATTCCAAATTATCATAAGAATTCTCACTGAAGCATTTTCTATAAGAAAAAATTGAAAACATTAGTGTCCATCGACAGAGGACTAGTTAAATAAATTATACTTCATCCACATGATACAGCAGATAAAAAATTATAATAAGATTCAGCCATTCACAAGGATCTGGAAACAATTCCAAGACTTTGTTTTTAGTCAAACAAAAACACAATGAGTACAGAATGATTCTATTTATGTCAATTAAAAAAAATCATAATATACAAATTTTATATGGCTACCTAATATATTCCCTTTGTCCTCTTCAAAGAGAGGGCCTAGAAGATGGACTTTGCTCTTTTATGTATGTACTGTTTGCACAAGTGTAAGTTGCTTTTACTGACTACATTCTCTAAAGTTTTAAAACAGTGGTAAAGAAATATATCTGCCAACATGGGTAACGGCTAAGGATTTTTTTTAAGCTGGAAAACACACATATACAATGAGAAAGATCCAGAAGGCCTCAGAAAGATATACATCAAGGTGTTGGCCGTGGCTCTCTTTGGGTAGGTGGTGGTGCTTTTCATGTTCTTTTTTGCCTATCCACTTTTTTCTGTACTGATCAGGGATGGGTTTTGTATTTAAGTAGAATAGCAGCAATAATAAAAGAAAAAGAAATCTTTCACTGGAAAAGGAACAGGCAGACAAGTGAAGGCACAGCCCAGCTGGCCAGAGCCTGGGGAGGATGAGGAAGCAGTAAGGACATATTTGCCTGGGGCATCTGGAGAAAAAGAAACCAAAGGCAGAAATCCTTGGAAATGATCCTCCATCCCCAAATTGTGTGTGGCTTGCAGCACTAGTGGAGGTAGCTCAAGGACTCCTGCTTTCTAGCCTAGACTCGGCTTTGAGACTCTCAGTGCAAACGAGGAGGCTGGCAGGAGGACTGTAGAGCCCAGCCCAGGGTGTCTGCTCGGCCTCTCCTCCTTGCCCCTATCTCCAAACCATCCTAGAAACAGGACAGAATGGACTACACCCATCATAGAGGAGAAAAGGAGCCCAGGGTCAATTAGCTCCAAAGCATTAGATAGTCGCCTTACATTCTGTTGGCTTGAAACACCTAACAAAAGTCAGGGCCCAGGAGACCAGTGATCACTGGGCAGAACAACACTGTCTCTTGTGGGTGCCTACCTTTATGAAGGGACAAAGCAGCCGGTCCCTCTCAAGAAGCAGCAATGGTAAAGAGCACCAGGCCCCATTTAAACACCAGTGTGCAAGACCAAGAAAACAAAGCAGAGCCACATCACTGCAAGGGGTAGGCACACATAACACATTCTACTTTCTTCTTAGACACTACAGGCTTCCTGCCCTTCACTTCTAATTTCTTCTCAACATTGTCTTAACTTCTGCACCATCCCATTACATAACCTCCTTCATGTGCACAGCTGAGGGCTGCAAAGAAAGCCATCCGGGAGATGGTCATGGGCCTGTACACAGGGAGGAAGCCCTCAGCCTGAGGATGATAATGACTGAGCCAAGGAAAGTGAGACGGCTCCCTCCTGCAGTGAGGCAACAGGCAACATGTGTGGGGAGGAAACAGCCCAACCAGGAAGACAAGGAGACGCCCACATGATGCTTCCCTACTCCAAAATGACTAGACACCCTGTGTCTAGCAGACAGCTGGGTGTCTGTCTACGCTGTCTGTCCTTGGAATCTGGTGACTACATGGCACAGGTTTCCAGGCACACACTTCTAATGGAAAATGCCATCTCCAGCCACCTGCACTCCTCACTCATTGGTCTCTTACAAGGTCTCTTACGTCCAAATGGGGCCTGGAAACTGTAGACAGTGGTAGTACAAATGTCAGCTCTGGAGTAACTGTCTGGGTTTGAATTCCACTTCTGTCCCTGCTAGCTATATGGCTTCATGTTATTTTACCTCTCTGTGGTTTCCTCAGCTGTTCTGTGAATTAAACAAAGTAATGCCCATAAAATGCTTCACACAGGATGTGACCCAAAGCGAGAGCTCATCAAATGCTAGCTAAAGAGAATCCATCGGGGTATCTGCACATGCACATGCACCCTCAATGCTGCCCGAACCCAAACACTGTGACAGCATCAGCACCAGGAAACACAATGATGGTGGACATGGTCCTAACTGCATCCTCCCCTCTCTCCCACAGATGCATTTGCACCACCAGATAGAAAAAAGGGCAAAGGGAGAACATAGATGTTGAAAGAGGGGAAAAGCCAAGCCACATGAGCCTGGGAGCCTTTGTTAAAGGTTAGAGTTCATCAAATTCTCTAAACCTCAGACAATCCTATCAGCCAACTACAGAAGGATGGAACATGTGCTGCATGTGCACAGATCCATGCACACACTGGGCAGAAGGAAAGGGCTGGTGAGGGAGACAAAGGAGGAGCCACAGAATTCCTGGCACCTAAGCACTCCTTCTTTGCCACCACACAAGCAAACAGCTGTGGCCAAGCTCTCAACTCCTGCTGGAGAAAAGCCAGAGCATATCCATCAAGAAAGTGGCCTCTGCAGAGGTTGAGCTGGGGAACCATCACTCTGAAGAGAAAGGGGGACCTAAGAAAAGGCAGAAGTCTGGTGGGGAAATGCAAGGGAAAGGACAGCACAAGAGGGACAGCAGAGGAACAGGAGAGTCAAGGTTCAGACTGGCAAGAGGCAACAGGATTCAGAAGTGAGGCTACTAGGGAATGTCCTTACAAATGTCATAACCACCAAGCCCATCTTAACAACCAGTCCTATCTGTGCCCTCACAGACTCAGGGCAAAATGAGAATCTGTGCAGTCTCCTGGAGTCAGGGGTTTGGTGAGAAAACAAGAGGATGCCGAGAGACACAGCACACACTAATTACCTCATGAACCACAGGGAGCTACAGGTGGGCATCCAGCTGGTCCTCAGCTCCCTGCCACACACTGCTGGACAGGAGGCATAGAACAGAGTTTGTCTGGGGAGTGGGTAAAATGAACCTTTTTATTGCAAGGACAGGAGGCAGCCAAAAGTGAATCTATCAAAAAAATGTGGGGACCTGTTTCCCAGGTCCCTTATGATCTTTCCTTTAGCTTAAAAAAAAAAAAAATGGTAATGAAGATTTCTGTCCTGCTAAACATGGTGGGCTGAATTTTCAGTTTATCTCTATTCCCTCCAGGGTCCCATTAAAATAACGGAATGACAAGCTCTAGCAGGGAGAATGTCTCCCAGAAAACTAAAATGGAATCAACACATTATCAGATTGAGGATTATTCAGTTGTATCTGACAAAAACTAGATAGAGGTTGTAGCACTGACATGCACAAGAAAAACACAATTACTAGCTTCCTGTCTAATTTGAAGGAAAATAAAGAATTTTCTGATTAAAAATTAATACATGACTTGGTTCATTTGTGGGAATGACTGTCAAATAATGAAGAGCAGGTGAGTGTGTGGACAAGGATAAGGTTTAGAAAGCCCAGTGGGATTTTTGTGCAGAAGTCAACACATAATTTCTAAAGTCAACAAACCAAAAATTAATGGTAGGAACAAACTGCTTAGATCAATGGAGGTAGATAGCAGATGAAGCAGGTTTTAGCTGAGTCAGAACCTGCATTTTAGTTGTTAGGACTGAAAGTGAGTAGCCTAGAAAGCAAGACAGTGTGGAAAGGAAGAGCAGGGGATGTGTTTATCAATAGAAGGCTAGCAACAAACAGTATCTGACTTTTAACTTCATGTTTACAGAACATGCAGTAAAATTAAAATCATGACCAAAATTAAAATCGTCTTCAATAACAACAAAAGATCTCTTTCAACACTTAGCTCAATTTATTGTGCCCCAAAGACTTCTCAGATCTCCTTCCTCTACTATACCACCCATCTAGCAATTAATCATATTCCACTTGGCAATGAGCTAAATGCACCTATTGCTAATTACCTTCCCACCTGTGCTTTGTCTCCTAACTAAATCAGAGCTGCTTCATAGCAGAGACCACTTCTCATAATCTTTGAGGAGTCCACGGCAGGCCAGGAGATTAAATCCACAAGCCCACAGAGGAGGTGCAGTGTTCCAGTTCCCGGTTACCTGCATAGGCATTGGCCTGCTGCAGAAGGTCGGTGCAGGTGTGCACATCTGCAAATGCACGGATGCCCAGGCAATTGGTGGGATGCAACTGAGACTGCAGGAAGTCACAGCAGTTCTGCCGAACATCCATGAGCTGCAGCAAGCTGGCTGCTGGGAGCAGCACCTACAAGAGAAGGTGATATTCTAAGACATGATATCCCACTGGCAGGAACTATTCCAATCATGTTCCCAAGCTCAAGATCTATTCATGGCTCGACACTGCCTATTAGGTCCAAACTTCCCAGCATTATTTCCCACTGCTCTCTTCATTTCATCAACCCAAAGCACCAGGGGATTCTCTATCCCCAAGACACACTGCAGTGGGATCTTATTCGGATCAGATTCTGACTCAGTAGGTCTAGAGTGGGACCTAAGAGCTCATATTTCTAACAGAAACCCAGGTAATGCTTGTAGCTACTGGTTCATGAATCATGCTTAAAGTAATAAAGCCACATGTGACACACACACGGTATGGCACTTGTTCTCAGATAAATCTTGGAATTAAGACTGAGTCAACAAATCATCCTGACTTTCCTGGTACCTTGCCAGTTTTAGCACAAGTCACACATCCCAGGAGATTCCTCAGTTGTAGTCAAACTGTAACACTGGAGTTTAATACTCATGTGTAGATGTCACTTCCAAAGATTCCAACTTATAGGCATTGGGTATGGTCTGGGCATTGAGATGTTGCTAAAGCTCTCCAGGAGCTTCTAACGGACAGCCAAGTGTGAGAACCATTGCCCTACACATTCAGAAAGGACTTGAGCTGCTCGCTAGCTCTCTCACTACTTAGCTGCTGAGCCTCTGTGTGCTGTGCACTGGTCTAGGCTCTAAAGTTCCATGGTAAACAAAACAAACCAGATCCTACTGTCATGGAGCTTATATCTACTGGAATAAGAGGCTCACCCCCAAATCCCTCAGGACTCAGGCATATTTATCCTCCTATCCAGCAGATAGAATGTGAAGTCTATCTCTGGATACATTCTTAGAGAGCGAGTTTTCTTTCAAAAGGTCACAAGACACATGAATATTTACACCACATCCTGCAAGACAGAAGCAGTTCTTGCTCGGGTGTATGTGCATGTGTTTTTCCGAGCAGTCAGGGAAGACTGGCTGGAACAGGCTCAGACTGCCAGCCTCAGTCAAGCTTCCCTAGGATTTCCCTACAGCTGCTGAAGTCTGCCCTCTGGATCAAAATAAGGATGAAGGCCAAAGTCCTACTCCATCTAGCTCTGCTCCCCTGGCCTACCCCCCATCAGAGGAACATATATGATTTCTAAAAAGAAATTTAGAAAAAAAAATTATGGAGCAGAATAATTTGATGGCTGCTTAGTTTATGGACCCCTCCTCCTACCCCCAGCATCCACTCACACTAAAACAATCCCCTCGTCCTAGGCCCTTGCTCTCAGAGTGACTGAGAGCAGCCAGACTCCAGCTGTTCCCATCCACAAGGCTTGCCCAGAAACACACAGTCTGCAGATCATTTGCTCTTTACTCTGGGCACCATGAAAGTCTTTAAATGATTTAGATTCTGGACCCTGACTTTCTCCCAAAACAGCTCTGTGCCCTCAGCTCTGACTCTCATTACCTATAAGTGCACACGTAATGCCCCCACTCTTAGGACTTGTCCCTTCATGAGGGTAATCAATTGTCCTGGTTTTCCCAGGACTGACTGCAGGGTTTCCCAAGACTCTCAGTGCTAAAACTGGGAGAATCAGTCCCCCTTTATCATCCCTGCCCATGTGAGTAATCACCAAGGCCCCCACTACCAGTGTCTACTGTCAACAAGGAGGGCTCTGCCTCCTAACAGCTAAAAGTCCCCCTCACCACAGCTGAGTTTGAGAAAACCCGCTCCTTCTCCCCTCCTCCACTTGCCTATGTCCCCAGTGGAAAGCAATAAATTAGCTCCATGTCCTTGGTATTTTGTGGCCCACTGATTAATTCCTGGGGAAGAAAAAAAGATAAAAATCACCCTAGCCGGAGAGTTTCAGACATAAGTGAACACAGCCAGGATCCAAATCTAACCACTTCCCCCACCTCTATCCCCAGTAGGCAGTCACCAGCCCCCCAAGCAGCCATAAACTAGGAAACTCAATTAACCTGTGAGCTTGCTCAGCCTGGGTTGAGCTTGATCCCAAGACCAGATTAGTCTCTGCCTGCTGGTTAAATGGAGATCTATTAACCATTCTTGCCGAATACACACCAGGAATGGAAAGCCCTGTTCCAAGTTCCCAGATGACCTCCATGGCACACCCTGACCAAGCACCAGTGACAAAGCCTGCAGTTAAGACTGTAGGTCAACAAGTCATCATCCTGACTTTCCTGGGGCCTTGCCAGTTTTAACACAAGTCACACGTCTCAGGAGATGGCTCAGTTGTAGTCAAACTGCAACACTTGCCTGCCCTAGGCTGGGGTAACCAGGAAGTCCAAGGATACCTGAGAGTCCAGTCTACCCCCAGAGTCATGCACTCCCTGACAAGTCCCAGCAAGATCAAGCCAGCAACACACTCCCTCCCCTTTCTCTTCTTCTTCACCAGGAACACAGTAGCTTGAGGTGCTCAAATTCTCAGGTTGTCATGAGACAACCAGCCTGAGAAATATAATAATAAATATTTCCTGAACACACTCCTTAGGTTACACTTTCAGGTTTGTTTTGTTTTGTTTTGTTTTTTTTAAGAGAGAGAGAGAGGAGAATTTTTAAATATTTATTTTTTAGTTTTCAGTGGACACAACATCTTTATTTTATTTTTATGTGGTGCTGAGGATCGAACCCAGTGCCCCACACATGCCAGGTGAGCACGCTACTGCTTGAGCCACATCCCCAGCCCCTACACTTTCAGTTTTTAAAACATCCCTGGATACAGCTACCCACATAGCTTTCATCTTCCTTTCTGGTCACAAAACCCACTTACTGGGCAAAAATTATGAGGCTTCCCACCTCTCCACAACACCCATCATGTTGGGTCCGCTCCCTCCAAAAGCATTCCTGAACAGGCTTCCTAAAATGAACAGGGCTTGTGGCTTCTCTGATTGCTCAAATCCCTCTCTTTGATCTTTCACTGCGATCAGCGGTGAGTCAAAGGCCCTTTTCTTTCTTCACTTCATACAAGAGGGCATGAAGAAAAGTCAAGAAAGTCAGAATGCTGAGGGGGATGATTCGGAGGCCAGGAGGTTCACCACTGCATCTCGAGGGTACAGTGGGGCCCAATTAGACAGAGCTCTGGGGTCTGGGCACAAACGCAAGGCAAATCGCCACCTAGCAAAATATCCATGAGGTGACTCTCGAGTTCCCTGCTTTGACATCAGGTGGCTTCCAGAGGATTTCCTCTTCTCTTGTCAAACACTTCTTCCTCGAGTGACAGCAGGAACAAGGTCATGAACATGAGACCAGCTCAGGCACTCAGCTTGGAGTGAGACTGCCCTGGTGGCATCACTAGTCAGTACTTCCTCTTCCTAGGGAGAGGAAGCTGGAACCACCCATAAAGATGGAGGAGTACCCCAAGTCAAAATGTTCCTTGCTCGCCTATTGCTGCCTCTGCATTATGTCTGGGAGGACGGGCACTCGAGTTGCCCTCAGCAAAGAGCCTTTGGGTTCCCCTTCAGCCTGCAAATGGTCAACCCTCCATTTTTCACGTGCAGGCCCAGTTTTGTTTTTTCTCTCCCTCGGATAACATGAAAACACAGCAGAGGATATCCCGTCACAGAGTTTGTTTCCTTTAGCAAAAACAAAAGGAAATGCCCTGCCTCAGAAAGCACCTACTGCTGTAACTACAGGGAGGCAGGGGCCAGGCACAGGGGGAGGTGACAGGGCCACCAGGGTCTCTAGGCCGGCCATGGAGTGGGCTGGCACAGAAACAGTGCTAAATTGAAACCTGTTGAGAGAAAGAAGAGAGAATGGAAGAGAGTAGGGGTGCACGGATGAACAGGACAGTGGACAGAACAGCACTGACATTACAAGGGTCACTTGGAATTTTGCCTTCTCCACTTACCAACCATGTAACTGAGGACAAATTACTTAACCTCTCTGTCTCTTCAACAGGAGAGTAAAGATAATAACGGTACTGCTTTAAATGCTTGTGAGGATCAAATGAGGCAATTCATTTAAACAGTGAACATAGTGCTTGGTACAAAGACAGTGCTCAGTTATCAGCTTTTATTATGATTAATCATTATGAGCAGAAGCCAAGGTTCATTCATTTAGCAAAGATGTGAGCTCACCACAGCTGCAGAACATAGTAGGAGAGAGCCAGGTTCAGCTCCCCACTGCACCACTTATTCCCTCTGTGACTGTAGCAGGTCACTTCCCTCTCTGTGCATCAGCTCCTTCAACTGTATAAGATGGGTCATATTAGTTGTGACTTTCATCTACCTGGCTTATAATGAATATTAATAAGCATCAGTTAGGATTGTTGTGACCTCTGCCCCAGAAAGACAACTCAAAATCTCTCCAAGAAATTTGTAGCTTGGAAGAGACAAAGTGTGGCTCCCATGGTCATTAAACCAAGACCCAAATCTGACACAGTAAGAGCCCCTGGGACTCCATGCTCATCTCCTCAGTGCACAAATCCTCAACAAATTATGTCTCTGTAGACAATGGGTAAGCAGCTGCCTCAGCAGAAATGTAAGAGCATGATGAGGAATCTACATTTTGATCCGGACTCTCTCCTCAACCTTTCTTGTTTTGTTTTTCCTCAAGGTCATCCCTGACCTTACCACAGTTTAGAGTGAGGAAGAAAAGAAAAAGGAATAGTTTTACTATACATTGCACTGATTCCAAATGACAGTTCCCCTATAGTCCCACGTGGTGCCTCTCCACGGAGCCTTGCACATGCTGCCTCCCGCCCCACTCCACACTTATAGATGAAGACAGCAGGCCCTGGGGGTCACAGGCCAGTGGGTCACAGGTAGGTCTAGCCACTCAGGCTTCTTTCAAGATTCGGCCCAAATATTTGGTATTTCCTCAGTTAGATGTGACCTGACGGCCCTCATCAGGGCAGCAAAGACTGTCTCCTGCTTCCTGGGCAGCCCACCCTGACCCCCACCCCACCATGCTGGAGGACACCCACTGTTCAGCCATCTGTTTCCACCTGCAGCCCAGCTGCTCCTTGGGAAGCAGCCTGTCATGGCACCCTCTTTGCCCACCCTGTCTGCTAGCACAGGGCAGGAGCTCAGAAGACATGTTTCGAATGACTGACCAAATAAAGGAGTAAGATGAGACTCTACAACCGGCCACAAGGAAGGAGAGGGACGGACACAGCCCCTTCCCCGGTGCCTTCTACAGCATGCTTCCCCTCCACCTAACTATTTAGCAGCTCCTTTAAAGGGCCTTTGCCTCAGAGCAGCAGCTGGCAGCTGCCCTTGGCCTCTGTCCTTGCCAAGCATTCCAGGCACACCCAGAGCAGGAGGTATCCCAAACTATCCTCTGCTTGGGACAATTCCCAGCCACTTCCAGGCCAGATCAGGTTAATCCGTAACTCCCATGCCTTATCATGGTGCCTACACCCTCTCTGGCTCTTCCCTTTCAGTCCTCATCAGCCCTCAGGCAGAGGAGAAATCAGGCAAATCCTTCTACACTTACGTGACTCCATGAGCACCTCCACATTTTAGATAACAATAGCCAACATTTATTGTTTACCATGTGTCAGGCACTGTTCTAAGTGCTTTACCTACATCAATACATTTAATCCTTACACTATAATTATGCCCATATTAGAGATAAAAACACTGAGGCACCGAGAGGTTAAGCAACTTGCTAGGGCCACACAGATAGAAAATGGCAAAGCTAGGATTTGAACACAGGCAGTCTATAACTCACTGACTATTGTGATTCCTGCTCTGCAGATGAGAAAACTGAATCCGTGAGACAGAGTGTCAGTGGGGGTACTGGAGAAGCTCTGGTAGGAGATAGGCAACATGAATGCCTTCTCTGGCCAGAGGTCACAGAGCCAGGCCCTCACTTTATAGATGAGGAAACAGACATCCTGCAGGGGGAAAGCACCTGCTACTCCAGTCCCACCTCGCCCCTATTTCCACCAGTTGTCTGAGCTCATATCTTCACTTTCCCTCCCCACAAAGTACTTTACAGAGCAGTGATGAAGCCATTTTCTCCCAAGACCTCTGGCTGGGCTGGCTGCTTCTCTATCTTAAAATACTCATTTAAGCCAATTTAGAGAGAGACAGACACCGGGTTAGATCAAAAAACATCACCTTATTACTTTACTACCAATTATTACCTCATTACTTTTTACTTATTTATACCTTAGTTATTATTACTTATTACCTTACGACTATTATTACCTTATTGCTATTATTGCCTTATTACCTAAGCAGGCAATAACAATATAGAACAGAACGTCTTCTAATTATCCAAATTTGTAAATACTTTATACTCTACAGGGAAAAAGTTATTAAATAATGACGAATAGAGAAGAAAACAGGTTCTAATCATATAGCTCTATGACCTCCCCTCTAATCATCTGATACTAAAATTATTTTGCACTTACTGTTACTGGCCAAAACTCATTCAGCTGTCTGGACTCTCACTGAACCCAGCATATAACCACTGCACTGCCCATTCTACTCTGGACAGGAAAGACAAATAACAAAACAGAGTGGCTGTGCATTCCAGCACACATAAAATACACTTCCACTAAAAAAGGGAGGGGGAGGATTAAGCCAAATGGATATAGAAATTGTTATCACCCAGAAGATGATCTCAGGGGCCAGAGACAAGGCAGGCTCTGCAAGACTCAATGCATTGCACTTCAGATGCTCTGCTGACCTTCACCCTGACCCCGGTGAGCATGCTTCATCACAAGGACCTAACACCCAACTCATGCTATAGCCCCAGCTTAAAGCTTATGTCCTGAAACCAACTTTCCAAGATCCCCTCCTCCATCCAAATGCAGCTCCCTGATTCTCTCTCACTGGGACATGTTCTTTTCCTTCAAAGGACTTATCACAATTTGTGCACAGACATTATTGGTGTGCTTCGTTGCTGAATGCCTTCTTCACCCTTGAACTGCAAACTCCCTAAGGGCAGGCAATAGGATCAGCCCTGTTCACTGCTGTTACCACAAGAGCTAAACAAAATGCATGGCAGATAATGGGAACTCAAACATTTGGATTGAACTGAGAGAATAAACAATTTTCAATTCAGCCTCTCAAATACATAGATCTTGGAATACGGGGTGATATTCTGGAAAAGGGAAATAGGTATTTTTTATTTTTGTCACTACAGAGGTTTCAGCTTCAAGTAAATATGAAGTTTTATGCTAAAAAAAAAAAAAAAAAAACAGAAAAATCTTTCCTATGAGATGGAAGATGACCTGGAGATAAGAGAGGTCACCCAAACTTCTGATTCTTCCTTCATGAGATACTGAATCAACATGAATTAAAAATTCTTCACTCCCAAAGGCTGGGATTGTGGCTCAATGTGGCTTGTAGAGCGCTTGCCTAGCACATGTGAGGCACTGGGTTCAATCCTCAGCACCACATATAAATAAATAAACAAAGGTATTGTGTCCAACTACCAAAAAAAAAAAAAAAAAACCACTTTAAAAATTCTTCACTCCCAGAGCCCAGAGTTATCCTGGCTTAGTGGTTAAGAACATGGCTGCCCATGCCAGCCAGGCAGGAGTTTAGGGGCCAGCTGGCCCACCTACTGGCCATATGACCCAGGAAGGCACCTAGTCTCTCTGCGGTATTGGTTTCTTCTTCAGTGACCCCTGAGTTGTGAGGGTTAAATGGAACAATGCTAGAAAAAGGCAGGTCCCAAGCATGCAATTCACTGATAGGCTCACCTGCACATTCTCTTCGGTCACCTCAATTTCTGCAGTATAGATGTAATCAATCAGCTTCCTAAGCGTATGCCCATCCACATCCTTGATTTCAATCTTCTTGGCTTTACTCTCAGACATGTCACCTGCAGTTCACAACAAGAACAAAAAGGACACAAATCTAGCACCTATGGTATCGTTAACTTCTAAGAGGCCTCCTGCCTTGTCATGGAAATAGGAAAACAGGGCCTGAGCTCTTCGAAGCAGAAGGAACTGAGGCAGAGATTGTAAGCCACTGATGGGAAGGCCACATAGCCTTGAGTCTCTGACCACCCACAAACCCCTTCTTAAGCATCCCCTACTTTTAGTGTGAAGGCAAATCAATGTGCAGTAGCTCATTCAACCAATGTTTACTATAAACTTGTGCACATAGGGCCATGAACAAAACCTGCACCTGTGCTCCAAGAGCACAGGTTCTAGTAAGAGATACATAAAAAGATTTATAAAAGAATAAGAACTTGGGGCTGACGTGGTGGCTCAGTGGTAGAGTGCTTGCTTAGCACATGTGAGGCCCTGGGTTCAATCCTCAGCACCACATAAAAATAAATAAATAAATAAATAAAGGTATTGTGTTCTACAACTAAATTAAAAAAAAAAAAAAAAAAGAATAAGAACTCAGCAAAGCTAAGTACAAAGTACCAAAATGACAAGAAAAAAATAACACTTGTTGAGTGCTAATGAAACCCTACTTTAAATTGTTGCCTCCTTCAATCCACAGAACCACCTATTGGGCTTATTAATATTATCCCCATTTTACACGAAAAGAAAATGAGACACAGGAGGGAAGGTAGTTCATCTTGCCCTTGGTCACACATGTAGGAAGGGACCAGGATGGGGTGAACACCAGGGAGTCTAATTTAAGAGCCCACATTTATAACCACTATGCTATCCTAAATCCCAGGAATATGGAGAGAGTGCAACAAACCCCACCTGGGAACTCCAGAGAGGCAGTAGGGGATCACAATTGAGCTGGGCATTAGAGGATGAGGAGGAGTTCCACAGGCAGCCATGGTGAGGAAGGATGAGTAGGATATGGGACCCATATGTGTACAGGGAAGAAAATACCAGAAGGATACATCTGGGGAATGGTGAGAAGCTGCTGTGGCTGCACACGGGTCATGGTGCGAAGAAGGAAGCTCAAGAGGTGGTTGAGGGCAGGACTTGCAGAGCCCTACAAGTTGTGCAAATGAACTTGGACTTCATCCAGAGGCCAGCACCACTGAGAGGTTTTAAACAGGGGAATGACATCAACAGATGGCTATTTCTGAATGAAATTTTGGAAGCAGGGAGGAAGCTGGATCGACCCAGGGAGAACAGTTGGGAGGCCCTGATAATAAAACAAGAAATAAAGGATACAGGGCTATGAACGAGGGTTGTAGCAGCAGCAGCACATTCCTGCCTGCACTATAAAGACAGCACTTAGGTTTCCCTAGTGCCAGTTTCCTCCAGCAAGTGCTGATTTCAGAAGGAAACAGACAGCACATGAAATAAAGGACAACCTGACTGCAAAAAACAAGTCATTCAGAAGTCCTAACGTGAGTGGTAAAACAGCCTGGGCAGTTGTTTTCAACCAATGTTTACTGTGGAATTCAAGGAACTGAAGCCAAGAAAATAAAGTACAGTACAGCATGTGGGTTGCAGACACCCACCTCCAAGCTGCTCGGACTGCACACGGTTCCTCTGACACAGTTCTAGATATGAGTGACTCTGGAACAGGGAGGCAAGTGGACAGCAGGAGTGATTTCCAAATCCTGCCCACTGGCTTCACTGCCAGACCAGGAGGACCAGAGACCCTCTTTCTACTTTGTTCTCTCTTCTCTAACTGCTATGGAAACCAGTGAAAAAGGTCCCAGCACAATGAGCCCTGGTGCAGGATGAAGAGGAAATAGGAAAAGATGGTAGATTCCTCCTACACCCATAAGCTAGGTTCGCAATCTCTCAAATTTATGCTGAGACACACAAACAAAAACAAGCATAGACAAAGAAATCAGTGGTTAAATTCTCTCTCTCTCTCTCTCTCTCAACAGCTAATAAGAAGTTCATTAAAGGGCTGGGGTTGTGGCTCAGTGGTAGAGCACTCACCTAGCATGTGTGAGGCCCTGGGTTTAATCCTCAGCACCACATAAAAATAAATAGATAAATAAAGGTATTGTGTCCATCTACAACTTAAAAAAAAAGTAGTTCATTAAAGAGGGTCCAATTGGTAAATATACTGCAAAAGATAATCAAAAAGAGCTAATTCTTGGTTTAAGATCTTAGACTTAAAAAATGATACTGAAAAAAAGCAGCAGCCTGACTATAAGAACCAAGAGGCTGGGAAGCCCTCCTATAAGAGTGCTACTGGAACCTGGGCTGATTGTTTTCTGGGGTGGAATCTGTGCTTGGGGGTCAGGTTAGGGGTTTATAACTTTGAGGTAAACAAAGGGAAACTCCTGAAATTGTATAAAATATTTGTATACATACACAAAGGTTTTTTTTTTTTTTTTCTGAAAGGAAGATGGATCATTTTAAATTTTTTTTTGTTTTTTTTAGTTGTACATGGTCTCAATGCCTTTATTTGTTTTTATGTGGTGCTAGGATCAAACCCAGTGCCTCACACTTGCGAGGCAAGTATTCTATCTCTGAGTTACAACTCCAGCCCAAGACAGATCATTTTTACCAGACTCTTAACAGGTTTTCATACTCCACAAAAGATTAGCACTCTGTTTTCTGAACAGTGGGACTTACATGGACTTTTTCTTGCTTCTTTGCATAACTCTGAAATTTTTCATTTTCTACATTAAGCATCTAAAATTTTAATAAGCTGCCCAAAAAAATGACACCATAAAAGAAAAACTAGGGATTTGAATGATAGTTATCTTCTAAGAAAGCTCTCTTAGAGACTGGTATAGGTCACACAGACTTATAGAATCCAATCTTATTGTTTCTTGTGAATCAGCAAAAACAATTACACCAAATTAAGATTTCAGTTTAAACAGGCCCTAAAAATGGGAATAGTTATAGTCACTACTGTGTACCATCCCCTCTACTAAGGGTTCATGCACATTATTTCATTGAATTCTCCCAACAAACCCTGAAGGTGGATGATAATTGCTGCCACTTGACAAATTATAGAACTGGCACTTTAAGATGTATTTGCACGTAGATAGTAGGGAGCAGGGCTGGGATTGGAAGTTGGGCCTAACTCTGTATCCTGAGTCATTTCTAATAACCCCTCTATAATTTAAATATGACCCTAACCATGACCTTAATAAACATATTCCCAAATTCAAAGCATCGTTCCAAATTCTGGAGACAAGGTAGCACTTAATATATTTCAATCAAGAACCTAAAGGGCCAGGACCTTGCTAGGCTTATTAGTAAAGATATCCTCAACATGTAATAAAGTGTTTGGCATAAAATAAGCACTCAGAAAATTATTGTTGGAGTCAGAGGAAAAAAAAGTAAGAAGGGAGGTTTTCTCTTGACATCTCAAGTCCATGGGCTTCAATACCTCCTGAGGGGTAGAAACCATCAAGGGCTTGATCATTTTTGCTTCTTCACCCACATCTAACAGTTTGACAAAATATTTCTAGAAAAGAGAACATGCATTCCATAAGTTTTTTTCCATCTCTAACGTTAATACAAGAGCCCTGCTCTGCTAGTTCTTCACAAGGGGCCCTAGCAGCTATCTCAGGATCTGAACTTTCAAAGATGTACATCAGCTGCATATCCTTTTAGCACTTGCCATCTTCCACTTATTGTATGTAAATATACATGTTCTCTAAATCATTTTCTCCAAACAGAACAAGATCCACTCAGGGTAAGACTGGTTCATTCATTCAGCAAGCATATATCAAATGTGCCTCCGTGAGCTAAGCACTATGCTAGGCCCAGAGGACACAAAGATGACCAAGTCCTCACCCTGCCCTCATGAACCTGTCTAGCAGAGAAGAGACAAGTACTCAACAACTACAAAGAGTGTCAAATGCAAGAATAGGAGATTCTGCTTGAAAAGTTCTTCAGTAAGGGATTCCTGCATCCTAAAGCTGTGTGCAAAGTGATAAGCACACGGGAGCACATGCCTGCTTTTCTAGGGAGAATCCATTGTTCTCATTGGATTGATTCACAGTGGTTAAGAACAACTGCTCTGGAGGAGTGACAATTATTCAGGAGAGAAATGAGAATGAGGGAAAAGCACTCCTAAGAGAATAGTATATGGAAAGGTCTGGAAGTAAGAAAGAACAAGGCCTGCTGGGAGCCATAAGAAGTTCAGTTTAGCTGGAGCACAGCTTGCAAAAGGAGGGAGAGTGAAACAAAGCTGGAGACAGAAGCAGGGTCTGGACCAACTGAGGGTCCTGCAGCCCATGCTAAGGAGTTCAGACTTCATCTCAAAGGTAACTGGAAGCCCCTGACAGGTTTTAGGAGGTGAGGGATACATCAGATTGCTATTTGAGGGAGACTACTATAACTACATGTGGAAAATGAGTTGGGATGGACAAACAGAAATGGAAGCAGGTTAAACAACTGGAAGACTGCGGCAGAATATCAAGTAGAAGATGCTATGGCCTGGTCTAAGGGACAGTGTCTTAAATTTCTTTAAATTCTTGGACCCTACCTTAGGGTCCTCTAAGAACCAAAGAGATCCCAGGAGAGCAAATAATTCCACACCTATCAAGATGAATGCTACAGTCATGTATAACTAAAAAGAACCAATTAAAAAAATTCCACACCTCTATCAGGTACAAGTGTTCAAGTCTTAATCTTAGATCCTAGCAAGCATACCATGTGTACAACTGAGATCTTTATAGGTGAAAAATTGCCAAAGAGGAGCAAGAAGGAAGAGGCTCAACTTGAGGAGTAAAAGGAAAAAATATTTTACCATCACAGAAAATTCAAGAAATCTAGAGGAAAAAAAAAAAAATCACTGACTCATCATCTAGGTCACTGGTATAAACTCAATGCTATTATTAAATAAATGAAGCCCTGAGAATGGGAAAACAATGGTAGATTGGCTGGCAGGTCTCTCTAAAGAACCAAAGCTAAGCCACCAGCCCCCCTACAAAACTGGATGTCCTCAAAGAGAAGAAAAAGGTGCACTCAAGAG